CCCAGGATCCATCCCCAAATCTCCAGGAGTTTTCCAACCTGGTTCTGGCAACCCTATCCCACGGCACTTGATTTGTGGCACACTTGTTGAAAAAGCTGGCTGCTACTCTTCTCTGCAAGCAGGGAAAACCTCTGGGCAAAATATGCTAAAGGGTGCAAGACTGAAAATTCTGTGCAGGTCATTCAGTCACTAGGGAAGCAGGTCAATTCTTGCCCATACAACTGATTCCTGACTTCCACCTTCTTCATGGCTCACATGTGCAATCAACTAAGTAATGCTTGTTTAACCACATACTGGGCTTGATCATGATCCAGCCATCTTTTTCACTGATGAAAATGGGGGGGGGAGCTTTGGCCACCCAAAAAGATTATGCTGGGAATCATGGAGCCTGCATGGACAAAAAGGATGTTGGGTGGGGAGAAAAATGAGTGAGGAGGAAAATTTGGCAAGATGCACTGAAAAAGCTGGCTAGATCCAACCAATTGTTTACTAAGGCTCATAGAGAGAAACAGAATTTGTACTTTGGAAGAAGAGGAAGAAGAAGAGTTGGTTCTTATACCCTGTTTTTCTCTATCCAAAGGAGTCTCAAAGTTGCTTACAGTTAGCTTCCCTTCCTCTTCCCACAGTAGTCACCTTGTGAGGTTGGTGGGGCTCAGAGAGTTCTGAGAGAACTGTGACTGGCCCTAGGTCACCCAGCTGGCTTCACGTGGAGGAGTGGGGAATCAAACCCGATTCTCCAAATGAGAGTACTCTACTCTGCTCTTAACCACTGTCCCATTCTATCTCCTGTCTCTTGAACTCCCTCTCCTCTCCAATGCCATCTGAGTGCTTACTTTGCATAATTTATGATAAGCGTTGAATCTTCAGTGTCATTATTGGGGAATATACACTTGACCTTCTCTCAATTAAGCATGTTCAAATCAAGCCTGCTTGTGCTACATACACAGCACGACATGGAGCTTATCTTCACTCTGTTTCGTTCCAGCATGGGCATATTCAGCAACAGCCAACGCAAGGAGGCTTTTAAAAATAATTAGCATCTGCTGCAAAGGGCAGTGGCTGCTGAGATCATTAAATGCGATCATTAAACTTCATCTTCTATTAAAATCTTGTTAGCCAATTTTAAATGCATTGCAACTAAGACTTCATTAATGAAAGCTGTCATAGCTGATCTGCCTTTGCAATGCTGAGATTTAAAAGACTCAGCTTGGGAGTCATACCAGATTATATGTCCTTAGAGAGGGCTAAAGTTGGGGTGATGAGGCAGCTGTAGCATCCCTAGCATTATTTCTGCCATTCTTTTTTTAAGAAGAAGGCAATGGTATTGCTTTAGTATCACCTTCAATATTTTTGTGACTTTTACATCACTTGGAAACATTAACTTATCCTACATTATTTTGGTATGTTTACTGTCTATATTATTCTGTTTCTCTCCTTTATGCCTCCCTGTTAATAAGTAAGTGTGCATTAAAGAAAGGCTTGCTACTTTTCATCTGGCAAGCTTAGTCTTGGGAACCCTTTCTTTCTGCTGTTGCATTATACCCTGGGCTTGCAAAATGGCATGCTGAACATTCCATTTTCTTGGTGGCACCTTATGTTTCTGCATGTTGACACCTTCTGCTAACTGGCTATCTTTAAATACTTCCTATTTTTAAGAGAGCAAACAGGTCAACTTTGTGCTTGTACTGTTAAACCCTAGGAACTTTTCCTGCTAAACCTGCTGAAAATTAAATTTCTGCCTTGCAATATGTGATATGTACAATGTGGACCATGACGAAAATACAAGACTGAAGCATATCATCATAGTTTTTTGCTTTGCTGTTTCAACTCAAAGCTCCTGCTCATACAAGCAGTCCCATTCAACTGAATGGTGGGAATGGAGTCATACATGCAGAGCTTTCAGTCATTTTATGAGGTTGGAAGTGAATTGGAGTTTAATTGTTACCTGTAGGGCTATTTTGGGGCAGGAACGCGCAGGAACGGAGTTCCGTCTGGCTTCAGAGTTGGCCATGCCCACTACAGCCAAAACCTCTGTGTGTGTGGCTACAGAGGGAAGGCCTGGAGAGCGACCCCCCTGGCGACTCCGAGGCGGGCGGGCTGGGGGGGGGCCCTGGAAGGATTGGGAAGGCATTTAAATGCCTCCCTGTGCCTTCCCCGACCTGTCCAAGGGCCGGCTTGCCTGGGCTCCCCGCAGCCGTGGATGCCTGGGCAAGCCAAGGGAAGGCATGGGGATGTGGCCTAATATGCTAATCAGCTGTATTGTTGGGGTGTGGCCTAATATGCTAATGTGTTTCTGCTGTTGGGTGTGGCCTATTATGCTAATGAGTTCCTGCTGGGCTTTTTCTACAAAAAAAGCCCTGGTTACCTGCGTGCTTATATTGTATGCTGCCTGGAGCCATGGGAAAAGGCAAGCTATAAATGTTTTAGTAAATAAATAAAGCAGTGTACACTAAATCAGTCTAATCTGCCAAAACAACAGCTCAGTATGTTCATGCCAATTCCTAAGATGGGTGCTTAGGATGTAACAGGTCACAATACCCATGATGATTGATTGAGGATCCATATGCAGATATAATCACATTTTAGCATGTACTGGCTCTGGCTGCTCTTTTGTAATTATTTATTCATTTGAGTTATTTATAGGTTGCTTCTCCAGAGAATTGTGAAGTATTAAAACAGAGTTCTATTCCTCTGTCTTTTACAGATGTTCCATTTTGGAGGCATGTCTCTCAGGATGGGTTCTGGTTGATTCCTTAGCTTCTATTTATACAATTCCACTATTCCTTTGGCAGAGACCAAGAGCACATACCAGGGTGTTGCCTTTTATGAATCTCAGGAGATGTGAGAGGCAAACAGAGTGGATGAACTTTGGTTACATATTCCAGACAAGCACAATGACTCTATTTATTCAGACTAAGCTGCTGAATGCAGATTGATTGACTCTATGGGCAATAAATTTTCGCCGCCACAAAACCTCAGTGGTAACCAACATGATCCTGAAGAGGGAGGGGGGAACCTACCTACAAGACTAGGGTTGGAAAAATAAATTTGATTATTTTTCCACACTTGTAAATTAGTCATTCAAATTCTTTTACCACTGATTGACATGAATTGCACAACTGGATTCAAAAGCTTACTTCTTGCCTTTTAGTTTCTACTTTGCTATAAAATGTTCCTATTCTAAGAGGACAAAAGGGGGGGAAAGGGAAGGAAGAGATATCTGCATTACAGTCAGCAATCAGTTCTTAATATTGCACCTAAGACGGATTTAACCTGCCCAATGACCTCTATACTGAAGAACAGAGAATTATAATGTAGATGTTTCATGCACCATTCCACACTTCAGGGGAACCAAGAGGCAATAATCACTACGATTCAGTGCTCAGAACAATCTTAAGTACAGTTTTGACATCTCCATGACACAAAGCTTCAGACATTTTCCGAAAGACATGATGACAAAATTATTACTTTATGCATTATAAATCAAAGGGAACTGGATCTTCTTAACTTGCAGATTTATGTTAACTACCCAGCGGTCTGCTAATTGTGTGCTCTTCGGATATTGATTGGGGATTAAAAAGGTAGGGTTTTTTCAGTGTCAGTGAAATTAAATACGCAAACAGGGAAAATTTCTTTCTGCACATTACATCTTCTGATCACTGCCTGTAAAATTAAAACTGTAATTTTGAATGGATAAATGATGCTAATTAAAGAATGAAAATACATTTATATAATTAAAATTAAGAATCTGTCTAATATGTGTGGAAAATGTAATTACGGTAGGCTTCTTGATATATATTATCAGCTCAAAATGGTTTCTGTGTCTTCTTCTCTAACCCTTAAGCCTGCTAACAAGTTAAGTCCTGGAAATCCTTCTTTATCCTACTATATATTATCTTCTCTTCTAATGCTTCTTTTTCTTCCCCTTGTCAGTATTTAAATATCCCATGGCCCTGGTTTTTCACATCATGACATCTGACTTTTATTTTAATTAATTTATTTATACTACACTTTTCTCCCCAAAGGGAGCTTATAGTATTCTCCTCTTCCTCCATTTTATCCTCCAAGCAGCAACCCTATGAGACAGGTTAGGCTGAGAGTGTATGACTGGCCCAAGCCGGGTCCGTAAGCTTCCAGGGCAGGGTGGGGATTCAAACTTCTAACCGCTACATCATGCTGGCTCTGCAAATCTATCCAAGAATGACATCCTTTGGATCTGGAAGCCTCTAAAGTCCCCTTCATATAGGCCCTTTAAACCACTTTGGCTTCTGAAGGCAAAAGGATTTTTAGGGGCTATTTCTTGTAACTGCATTCTAGCAGCTAATGAAGTTTCAAGCTGGATTTTCCAAAACCTATTTTGATCCGGGGTTTTGGGTTGTTGTTGTTGTTTTTTTGGGGGGGGGGGAGATAGAGCTTTATCCTTTAGGTGTGTGAAACCTTAAAAAATTCATTTACCATCTGAAGCCAAAGCAGGTTTTAAGAGCCCATATGAAACGGACTCTAATCTGTTTGCCTACCTCAATGGTGAAGAAAATGCACTTCAAATATTTTCAGGGCAATTTCCATCTATTCTTTCTTCACACACTTCAGCATTAAGATATAGTATAGTATTGTACAGATGGCTGGGCTAAGTCCTGGGGAACCCATGGCATAACCTAACTTTCTGGCCAGTCACTTGTTATCTTTCCCAGGGTTGGCAACAATCTCTGCACCTCTGAGCATAAACTGAGCCTCTGAGATAGCGCCATTGCTTCAGTGGGATTGTTCTGGTGTTTAAGTAAATATTAAGCAGTATTTATCCATTAACTTAGAAGGAGACATACAAAGAATGGCTTCAGCATGTGAAAAAAAATCCTCATGTAATAGTTATGACTGTGCACAGGGAACTGAATGCTTTGCTGACTGGTATTCGGAGCTGCCTAACAAAGTGCTTCTTATCCATATTTTAATTAAGCAACTGCAAGCATATTTGTAGCATATACAATTAATAGCCTTCTCACCTGTTCATTCTCATCTTCATCACTGCTCAACTTGAGGTCATCTTCTAACGTTCTGGAGAAAGAATAAAGAAAGATCTATATTTAACTTCAATGTGATAATTCATAAGTGTTATGACAGTCATCAGAAATGCCTATTATATAGCAAGCGGTCTAATATTCTTACATTCTCCAGTATAAGTTCAGGCACTATTTCTAAGTAATTAATTGATATAGAGTTGCCAGCTCTGGGTTGGAAAATACCTGGAAATTTTGGGGGGGGAGCCTGAGGAAGCCAGGGTTTGGGGAGGGGAGGGACCTCAATGGGGTATAATGCTATAGCATCCACCTTCCAAAATGGCCATTTTCTCCAGGGGAGAAATCTAAGGAGATATCCAGCCACTATCTGAAGTTTGATGACAGCATGTTAAATTCTGACCATTCATACATAAATGCACAGTGATATTGGAAATATTCTGCTTTATGACGCTATGTGACACCATAAATCTACCTCTGAAGTAGTGCAAGAATCCAGGTTGTGGTGGGAACTATACCAGCTTTCCCCAAACATGTCTGGAGGGGAAACCTCTGGTGTAAATATTGTAATTTATGTCTTTATGAACCAGCCCTAGCACTTTTCACAATCTTGCAATATTTACTATATGCTTCTGAAAAAAACCCCACAGCTGATTCTGTGGCAAAGATTACAAACATGCAGACCTACTAAATAAAATAATGTAAAATGCTTTCCTGGAATATGCAGAATGTATGTTTTTCTCTGAAATGTGAAAGGATGAAATCTCTGAAATGAGGGATTTTCATTCCTGTTATCTTCCAGATTTGCTTACAAGAAATGGTAAATTCCTGATGTTTTAATCGGCTCGTAATTAGAGATGTTGAAGAGGTTCTTCATTGTGTGAAAAGTGAGCATAAGGATATCTTTTCTTAGCAAAATGCTTAATGTCAAGGATTAGTTTGGTAAGTATTTAATATGAGTCAGTTCTGATGACATCTCCCATGGCTGACTTGTGGGGAAAATTCACACAAGACATTCTGTGCTCTTCTTCTACAAAAAGAAAACACTGACTTCATCTTTTCACAGAAAAGAAGCTCCAATCTCAAGCAAGTTCATGGTTCCAACATAATGTTGCTCACATGAATAACCATTTCCATAAGCAGTATTTTTGTGCAAGTCAACAAATACACCGTAAAATTAGAATAACTATCATTCTAGGACCATTGGAAAAGGAATAATCTTAAGAAGAACATGCCAGTCAGTTGCAGCCAACTTCTGGTAACCCCCTTCCATGGGGTGTTCCAGGCATGAGATGAGCAGAAGTGGTTTGCCATTGTCTCCTTCCACATAGCAATTCCAGTCTTCCTTGGTGGTCTCCCATCCAAGTGCTGACCATGGCTGACCCTGCTAAGCTCCCAAGCCTTGATGAGCTCAGGCTAAACTGAGCTAAATTCGGATGAAAGCTTGGTGAAGGTTTAAAAAAGTCTTGTCAGTCTTGTCAGACAGAGTCAGGCATTGTTTAGATTTTGGCTTGACAATAGCCAGTCAGAAAGATTGTATATGTTGATCTGAGGGAAACAGACAAGTCACTTGAGCAGTGAAGGAACACAACTCCTTGCCCTTACTGTGTACCAACACATTTGAGGAAAAGTTCAGAAATCAGAACTTAAAAGTCTAAGTGTCAGCCCTAGCTGATTTTCATTTATTCACAGTCTCTAGATGTGGGGTTTAGGTCTGACAGAAGAGGCTGGACAGTAGGTTGAAAACTGCCAGTCTAGCCTCCTAGAAAGAGAGAATATTTCTTACCCAATTGTTCAAATGGTTCAACTCAGAAGGGACCCCTGGTTTGTATGAAAATGGAAATGGTCTTAAACTCCTCAAGAGTAAAAAAGGGAAAGTTATAATCTCACAAGGGAAGTATTTAAATACAGGAAGAAAGTACTAACTCTCCAAGAAACTAAGATAGTTTTATGAAACTTGATTACGACACATTGTTTTCGAAAGAAATCTCCAAGACAAACAAACTTCTCGCTGTCAAAAACTGACTCTCTAAGAATATAAGCTTCAATTATACTCTGTTGCCTGTTCAAAATAATATAATCTGTATAAACAAGAAAATTTACCTCAATGCCTCATCCCCTGCCCTATTCCTAACTTATCTGTGCATGTTCAATAAAATCAACCTTTTTGTTTGAACTTTACTTTGTGTCAAGTGCCATTTCTAAAGGGATTTATAAGAGGGCTCCTGCGTAGTTACAATAAATCTCTAGCCTAGGCAAAAGCCAAATAACTTCTTTAACAGCGGGTGGGAGAGGCAGAAAATTATAATTCTATAATTTAAATACGCTACTAAGAGGCTGCTCAGTCAGAGTGGGGAACAGCATTTTGGAAGGAAAATCTGCCTCACTGAGAAGAAGAAACAGGGGTCCGTCATAGTCAGAAGCGACATCATTGTGTCAGGGACATCACACGACTATGTCCCTGTTTGGAGGTGGGGCTTCTCCTGCCTGCCAGCTGGCTAGCAGCAGATCAAAGCCCCCAAAATCGGGGGAACCACCCCTAGAACTCGGGGGCTGGCAACCCTACCATATCCTCACCTTTCTGTTTCCTTTTCTCCTTCCCTCCCACCCACCCACTTTTTCTCCCCCCTCCATCTTCAGCTATATTATTTATTTACTTCATTTATACCCAACTTTTTCCAGCAACAAGGACCCAGTGAAGCTTATATCATTTCCCCTTCTCCATTTTATCTTCACCACAACTCTGTGAAGTAGGTTAGGCTGAAAGTGTGTGAGTGGCCCAAAGTCACCCAGTGAATTTCCTTGGAAATGCAAGTGGAAGACAGTCATGGAAACATATTCTTAAAAACCCAGGTGGGTGAAGGGAGTGTAGTGAGAAAGCGGAATTTGGTAAAACTGTTTCTCTCTTGTACCTGCAGTGCTTCCATTGGCACAAGAGGCTCCACTGAGATAATTTTGCACAGTTTCCCTTCTTCACTGCATCCATATACCATGTGGCTATTTGTGCATGTGGCTCCCACAACTCCCAATATCAGTTTTGGGAGGTCAGAGGGTTGTTGAGGGAAAGGAGAAGTGCCTTCCACTTGTGCTTTACAGAATACACCCAACACCTCATTACTTGTGGTTGGCATCCCATTATTTTCTAAGCAAGAATGGCAATTCACTTTCATTAGGTTTGCATACATTCAGTCAGTCAACCAGATCAGCCGCCTTCAAAGGTGAATGGAATCATCTCAAAGCTCCAGCAACAAGCATCCCTTGATTTTCACATGCATTAGGATTAATCTTTAGGGAGTATTAACACACAATTGCATTCCTTCATCAAAGATCTCTGAGCTGTAAAACATAAATACCTCATGAGTAATGGGTGGACACATGTTTCAATCTGTGTTAATGAAGTGAAATTTACTGCTATTATTCTTTTTCCATCAAAGAACAGATGGTCAACCTTGCCTAATGCATATCTATATCCAAATCATGTACTTCATATGTTAACACAATATTGATGAAACAGCTATTTGTACTAGCTGTGATTATTTTATCACTGAAATAGTTTCACAGGCTAAAAATATAATGCACACTTTTTCGGTTTAAGGGGACTTGATTACATGTACTGAAATTGTATTGCTTATTTTGTAGAATAAAACAATTACAAAAACCAGAGGATATTTCTAACACAGCAGACTGAGATAACCCTAGAGTAATTTTGAAGTATCCCAAAGGGACCCTCTCTGATGTTCTCAGAAATGTTGTTTCATCAAAACAACACTTACATATAATGCTAAAATGGCATTTGTACTCCTAAATAATAATAGAGGAAGCCACAAATGATTTGAATACAACAAAAGCTAATTAAAAATAGTACTGTCAAGGTTACTTAACAAAATTAATGTTACTGTAAAGGAGATACATCAACACAAGATGTAATTGCAAAATACAAAATTCTGAATAACTGAAATGCAGCCCACAGTGACAAAATTAGGAATTCCTTCAGAAATCAGCGGCACTCTTCCAGTTGAGACTGTATCATTCTGCTTTTCTTTCTTAAACTATTTATGATGGCTAAAGGCATTTTTAAATTCCTATCATAGATAGTATATTCTGAAAAGTGATATGCAACAAGAGTTTGGCTACAGGTTATATTTGGACAAAGGAGAATTGGTTCAACTAGATGAAAGTTGTGCTGTCAGAAATTCTGAAGGTTCCCTCAGCAATAAGCAAAGAATGGTAGTTGGAGCTACAATGATAGAGCAGTCCAGGCGGGTAGCCGTGTTAGTCTTGGCAGCAGAATAAACCAGGAGACTAGGGGCACCTTATTTATTTATTTATTCATTTACATTACATTTATATACCGCTCTAACCTTTTTTGCCGGTCTCTGAGCGGTTTAAATATAGTTCCAAATTCCAGTTAATCTAACTAGGGCCACATTGTCAATGGGGTAGTGTCTGCCTACCAGCACCCCGGGCTAACTAAATTTATTCCTGCATAACTTTTTTTTGTGAGTGAGAGCTCACTTCATCATAGAAGGTATAGTCACTTTTGCCTCCATTATCTACCTCCCCTTATCTGTCTTCTTGGCGGCTAATTTGCCCTAAGAGTTGGGAGAAGAAATGGTGGTGGTAAAAAGTGCTGTCAAGTTGCAGCTGACTAATGGTGACTCCTTAAGGGGTTTTCAAGGCAAGAGACATTGAGAGGTGATTTGCCTTTGCCTGCCTCCTCATAGCAACCTTGGACTTCCTCGGTAGTCTTCCATCCAGATACTGACCAGGGCTCACACTGCTTAGCTTCTGAGATCTAATGAGTTTGAGCTAGCCTGGATTATCTGGGCCAGGGTGGGAGAAGAAATAGCAAGAAAAATTTGCTCTTAAGAAGAGAAATAAGCAGATATAAAAATTGGAGAGGGAGCAGCAACTGTGGTTCCCGCTTCCCTTTGTCTTTGTCTGTGCTTCCCGCCCTCCTCTGCCTGTCTGAGAGAACCTTCAGAATTCTCAGTAAGCAGAGACTGGTTACTACCTATGAATACTTTTGATGTGGTATTC